AGTGTTCTCAGAGTGTGTGATCATCACTACAATCTGAGTTTAGAACCTTTTCATCAGCCCCAGGCCAGGCCCTTGCACCTCTGTACCTCTGAGCAGTCACACACTATCTTCTTTGCCCAACCTAGGCAACCACAAATCTCTCTGTCTATAATCTTGCCTGGCCCAAGATCATAAAGATTATTCTGTTTTGTTTTGTTTTTCCTTCTAAGAATTTTTCTGCTCTTAAATTTTAACTCTTCAATCCATTTTGTGTTAATTTTTTATGCATGGAGGAAGGCATGAGGATTCCAAGTTCAAGCCCAGCAAGACCAAAGGTTAGGATTATAGCTCGGGGGAAAAATTCTGGGTTCAATCCGTACTGAAAAAAACAAACAGAACACCCCAAACAGATCTCTGTATGTTGGTTGCATATCCTACAACCTGCTCAACGTATTTGGTGTTTTGTTGTTGTTGTTGTTGTTTTTGGTATGTTGGTTTGGTTTTTGAGACAGGGTCTCACTATGTAGTCCAAGCTAATCTTGAGCTCATTATGTGATCCTCCTTCCTCAGCCTCCCCAGTGCTGGGATTACAGGCATGTACCACCATGGCCAGCTTACTAAATTCTTTTAATAACTAATAGTTTTGTGCGTGGATTCCTTAGAATTTTCTACATACAAGATCATGTTATCCACAAGAAGAAATAGTTTGGTTCTTCCTTTCCAATCTGGATACCCTTTCTTTTTCTTGCTACTCTGAACTTGCAGTACAATATGAATAGACATGGAAGGCCAGATCAGTATCTTGTTACTGATATTAGGAGGAAAGCATTACATCTTCCAACACTACAGATATGGTGCTGTGCACATTTCTGAATAAGTCATTTTTTACTTCTCTTGGGTAAATACCTGGGTGTAGAATTCTTGGATCATAAAACAGGTACATGTTCAACTTTACAAAGAATTGTCAGTTTTTCATAGTGCCTTTTTGTGCCCAGCTACTTTTCAAGCTTCTCTTGTTATATTTTAATGAGTTGGGAAAACAGGAAGACCACTAAGCTATGAAGTTCTCCCTGCACCTTTATTGGAAATTTTCCTGATGACAGACTCAACAGGTCTGCTGTGTTCATAAAGTTCTTCAGGAGCCAGATGATGGTAATTCCTTTACTTACTACTCAAATATATTCCTTCACAAGTTCACCTTTTGTCTATGCACAAACTAAAATTCCTCAGTTGCTTCCCCCAAGGGGATCTCAGCCAGACCACAGCTGAACCATTGTTCACTTGATCTGCAGGAGACATTGTTATGACATCAGTAAAATCAGGAGGAATCCCTGCAACCAAGGCAGCTTCAGAGAAGTGTTAAGTCTTGGTGGATCTTCTTCCTGCACTGACCTCTGACGTACTCTTGGTCTATCTCGTGTGTAACTCAAACATTGTGAAGGTTCACATCACAAACCATGAACTCTGCTATCCACCCCCTATTAATGCCAGCATCTTCATCACAGCAGCGGACACCTCTGCAGGCAGAGGTCCTATCTGCATGATGTCCACACACCCAGCTCACTAGGGACCCCTGTTTACTAGAAGGTCTCTGCGTGGTTCATTTCTTAGCTCTTGATCATCACGAAGATCTCGCTCTCTCTTTTTTTTCCTCCAAAGGTGGAACTATCTCTTGCTCTGGTAGAAAGTAATAAATACATTCATTTACAGAAACAAGCTGCCAGCACAATGGCATGCATCTGTAGTCCCAGCTACTCAAGGAGCTAAGGTGGGAGGGCAAATTGAGCCCAGGGGGTTTGAAGCAAGCCCAGGCAACCTGGCAAGACCCCTTCTCTTAAAATGCCTAAAAAGCAGAAAAACATAATAATTTCTTTTATAAAATGGCTGGGATTTATCCTTCCAGGATTTTGGGGTTTTTTTTCTTGGTATTGAGGATCAAACTTGGGACCTTGCACTTTCAAGGCAGGCAGTGGCACCACTGAGCTAAATCCCCGGCCCCCTTCCAGGATTTTTAAATGCACTAAACATATCCTGGACACGTGTGCATGGCAGTAGGTATATAGCTATGGCTCTTTTAAATGGCATCATCTTCTATAGGATGAGTATAAATTAATTTTATATAAAGAATCAAGAATGTAACATACTCATGTGCTGCTCATGTTTAGAAAAATTTCAGTCATAGCCATATGTGTGTTGGCACACCCCTGGGATCCTAGCTGCTGGGATGACTGAGGCAAATTCCGACCCAGCTTAGGCAATTTAGCAAGTCTGTGTCTCAAATTTTAAAAAGAGCTGAAGTCTTTAGCTCAATGGTAGAGTGATCATTAAACATGTGCAAGGCTCTGGGGACAGTCCTCATTCAATATGAAGAAGCAGGGAAGGTTCAGTTGTATATTTTCCAGTTTGTCACTTGGGCTGTGGATACGTATATGCTGAGGACTGAACCCAGGGCTTCATGCATGCTAGGAAAGCTCCCTACCCTGAGCTGTACCCCAGCTAAGAGTGGGGGCTTTTATCATGGAGCCTTCTTGTCCAAGAGCATTGAGGCCTTTCCTGGCTTGGTCCCACAATCGTGTTATAAAATGAGGTCTTCCCATGTATTTCATATATGGAGAATATGTACTTTACGGGTTCATATCTCTTTCATGATGTAGGCAACAGCACATTCTGTTTTTGTAGTACTCCTCTCTGATATTAGCCAGTGACATTGCTCTCCACGGTGTTTCTCCATCACTGTGTGGGTGCTTGGGTTGCGGAGCTGCACTGGTGATTCCCAGGCTGTTTTCACACCCTGCTGACTCCACCACTGCCTGCCAAACTGCCTTATGCACACTTGGAATTTAGCAAACCTGCTCCCTCTGCTTTTCAGAGCCAAATTGGGCCTAGTCTGACCCAGGTCCTTTGTACACTAGCTCTTGGCCCACACAGGCACGGCTCTCCCTTCAGGAAAAGTCTTTGGCATGCTTCCTGACGTCCTTCTTTGGCCTTTCCCACAAGCTCCTACCTGATAGAAGCTGCTTTGGGCAGAACCTTTCAAATGTTTTGGAGTCTGAAAACTATCTTTCCCAGTTTGACTGAAAAGGGAATTTGTTGGTTTTAAAATTCATTCTTGTTAATTTTCCAGGAAAAAATGAAAATACAGACTCTTGTAATTATGTTCATACCAAAAGCCTAAATGAAATAATTTTTGACCCGGAACCACCCACCATTTCTGGAACAATTCAGTCAACTTTGAACTTGATCACAGAGTTTTATTAAAAACACAGTTGGGGGTTTTGGAGCTAGGACTAGTAAATTCTGTGTAGTTAAACAGAAACTTGCCAGTATAAAATACTTAACGAGATAAAGTCAGTAAAAAATAACTGAGCAACTGCTTTGTGTTTGGCATTTTTCTGTAGTTAGGTGTAGCTACTTGTTGGTACCCTCAGTCCAGTTCATTATTAGAGTGTTTCCCCTGAACTTCAGTTCTCTGGAGTAAAGATCAACAAGTATCTACTTAAAAAGTGGCTGAAATGTTTCAGTATTACTTGGTGGCTTTTTTTTTTTTTTTGGTACTGGGGATTGAACTCGGGACCTTGCGCTTGTGAGGCAGGAGGTGGCACCACTGAGCTAAATCCCCAGCCCTTTTTTTTTCTTTTTTCAGTTGTACTGGAGATTGAATTGAGTGCCTTCACACTGAGCTACATCTTCAGCTTTTTCTTTTTGAGACAGGGTCTCCCAAGTTACTAATTGCTTTGAACTTGTGATCTTCCTGCCTCAGCCTGCCACAATGCTGGGATCACAGGGATGTGCTGCCATGCCTGGCAACTCAGTGGATTTCTCATCTTCTGAAAGGGGATTTTTGGAATCATTGTAAGCTTCTGAGTAAAGTATTGTTAGCACAAAAATGGGTGAGCTGAGAAAGGGTGGAATGAAGCAGCCACTGGCCAAGGATGGGGTACAGGTGTGAGCAGAGCAGATGTGATGTAGGGGAAGATGCCTCAGGGCATGAGCAGGCAGCCAGTAGGGGCTGGGGGAGACTGGCTGAGGAGAGGACCCAAGGGTCAGGTGGGAGTGACGGCCAGAGGGCAGTGGAAGGAAGGCCATCTCTGCGGCAAAGACTATGCCCCTTCACTTCCCCACACCTGCCTCTATTTGTATTACCTGCTCTCCTGGCCACAGTATGATCACAAAGTCCTTGTTTTAGACGAGATTCTCAGGAAGATATGGAGCTTAGCATGCAGGAGATTTAATGCAGAGTCCTTTGGGGATCGAGTCCAGTGAGGGTATAAAGGAAACAGGCTAGGCAGTAAGAAAAGAGCTGCAATGTTGCTGCAGCAGAGGCCCCGCAGACTTGTCCTTACTTTAGGCAAGGGGGCACTGGCCATCACTGGCAGGAGCTGCTCCCAGGGAGGACGGTTTCTTCAGGAGAAGCTGACAGCTGTCACTCCTGATGGGGATGAGTCCTGACCAGGTGAGGAGGGCATGCATTCCCCAGGACTTCACCAGGACGCAGGTCGGCGCCAGTCAGAAGTCTCATCTTTCCCTACTTTATTTGCTTCAGTCTAATCTTTCCCTACTTTGCTCCTATTCCCCACACCCACACATTCACATTAACTACAGAGAAGTCTACTTGCCACTTCCTGAACACACAGCTTCTCAGCACTACCCTACCTTTCCAAGTGCTGCTTCACCAGCCTAGAAAGCCCTTCCTACGCTCCTTTCCTGAAAAATCTTGCTGTTGCTACTAGTTTATTTCAAAAGCTAATGCTATTATGAAAACTTGCAATGGAGTCATTTTCCCAGTCTTTATGTAACTGTTGTATTTGTCTTGCTTGCACTGCAGTTAATCTGTTCGTGTTTTCCTTTATCAGACTGCAAACTCAAAAGGACTGCAGAACTTACTCTTTAATCCTTTCATTTTTTTCTATCATTTAACATTCTGCTTGGCACAAAACAGGCATTCAATGGGTCAAAATTAATTGTATCAAATTGTTCCAAAATGTTTCCCTGGTATTTTTCCTTCTCATGGGAAGGTAATGAAATTAATTTTAATAGGATTTGAGCATCTACAATTGAACAGCTATTGGTGAGGCTATTTTTGATTGTCCTTTTTTTGGTTGTTTTGTTTTTTGAAAGAAGGTCTCACTCTGTACTTCAGGCTGGCCTTGAACTGGTAGTGATTCTTCTGCCTCAGCTTCCCAAGCGCTGGGATTGTAGACATATGCCATACCTGGCCTCTTTGTTGTTTTTACAAACCACATAAAAGAACCATTTTGATGCATACAATTTATCAGTATTCAGTCCATTCCCAATATCTTGTAGTCATCATTTCTATCCTGTTCCAAAACATTTGTCATTCACGAGCAAATGTGTTTCTGTTGTTCTAATACATATCACACCTGGTCTGTGTTCCCCAGAAGTTAGCAGTTTAACAAGGAGAGATGGCTCTAATGTCTGAAAGTGTCGTGAAAGCCACCTTTGTGCAGAAATCCCGCTGGCTTATTTTCTATAGCTGGGCTACTGAGTGGGAAGAAAGACTTTTAGTGTTCTGAGAGGGTGATATCTGGATGTAACCAGAGGTCCTGAATTCCTGCGTTGAGGGGACATCCCCCAACTTTGGAACAAGGGCAGGCTGAGGAGCTTGAGGCCATGGAAGACCCCACGCTGTGATGGAGGGTTGGGAGCCAGCAGCCCCTCACCACAGCTTAGTGCTGTGTGTGCCAGAGAGTGAGGGGAAAGGAAACCCCTCTGGCCAGTCTCTGTCTGTTGGTGCTATTTCTGTGTCACTGTGATTAAATGATCAAAATGACAAGCTGTACCAGAAAAGGGAAGGTAGCCTCTAGTTGAGCAATTCTGAAGCCCCTCTTTGTCTAGGACCTAGAAAATAGACACTTTGCATTAACCATTTATTTACTTAAATCACTCTGAAATATATTCCATTTTATAGATGAGGAAACTGCAGCTAAGAGACCAAAGTAACATGCTCAGGCTCACAAAGAACACAGGGCTAGGATTTGGGGATCCCAGGATATCACCCAGAGGTTTTCTCAGGAAACACTGCCTAGCAGCTTATGACATGACGTGAGTCCTTCTCCCACCCCAGGTGAACTGTTACAGCAAAACCTTTGATTCCCCCCCTTGGGTGAATCCATGACGTCTACAACACATGGCCAAGCAATGGACAGATGAGCAGGTTCGACTCTTCTACATTGTGAGATCAAACACAAACATGATCAGGAGAAAAGCTGGCGCTGTGGGGCTATATACAAATTCACTTTATTTTACTTTTTTATTTTTTTGGTGCCAGGGATCGAACTTGGGACCTTGTGCTTGTGAGGCAGGCAACAGAACCACTGAGCTAAATCCCGGCCCTTATTTTATTTTCTGTGAAGGTAATAGCAACTTTCCCTCTTAAAACCACTTTTCTGAAAGTAAATTTTCTAGAATTGCAATCTTTGAAACTACAGAGCAAGCAGTAATATGTAAATCTAACAAAAGCATTTAACTCAAAAGCTAGCAAGGTTCTGGTTTTGGAGGGACTAGGTCTCACGGAGCCAGTATTTTTTTTTTTTTTGTACTGGGGATTGAACTCGGGTCCTTGCGCTTGTGAGGCAGGTGGCAGAACCACTGAGCTAAATCCCCAGCCCACAGAGCCAGTATTTTAATAGAAAAGCAAATCCTTCTATAATTTCATGGTTTTTAATAGTCATTTTCATGCCACATCAGCAATAACTTTTAGTTGATTATTCTTAACTGATGGCACTTCAGAATGATTAGGGAGGTATTTTACTTTATTAGTAGGCCTTATTATTATTATTATTTTTTGGTACCGGGGATCGAACTTGGGTCCTTGCGCTTGCACAGCAGGCAGCGAAACCACTGAGCTAAATCCCCAGCCCTGTAGGCCTTATTTTTAAATTTGAAGGCTGTGTTTATAAAGTAAAAGACCTAGATAAATATCTTCTAAGCCTGTGTTATAGGACCTCACACATGCCGGGCAAGTGTTCTGCTACTGAGCGATACTCCTAGGTCCCTGTATATTATTTTTAAAATTGAATGTTCACCTGTAATAATTAAAACCAGGCTGGGTATTTAGCTCAGTGGTGCTGCTGCCTGCCTCGCAAGCACAAGGTCCTGAGTTTTATCCCCGGTACCAAAAAAATGTCTACATAAAAGTGAAATTGTGTTGGAGTTTCAACAAATACGTGTGGATCTTCCTTTTTATTTTTTTGGTACCGGGGATCAAACTCGGGACTTTGTGCTTGCAACACAGGCGGCGGAACCACTGAGCTAAATCCCCAGCCCTACGTGTGGATCTTAAATGCCTTGTATTTTATTTTTGGAAATCAGACCATGGTGGACCGAGGATTTAGCTCAGTAGTTCTGCTGCCTGCTGCAGAAATCAGACCATGGTATGTCTTGATCTACTTACACTTGTAATCAGCAGAGAAAGTTTGCCTTCAATTAACAAGTAATCCTTTATAGGACCGGCATGTAGCTCAGTGGCCCTGAGCCTTACTGGCAAGTGCAAGGTCCTGAGTTCGATTCCCAGTACTGGAAAAAAAAATCCTTTACAATAAAAGGATCAAGATACAGGTTCATTATTTCACTAATAGTTCCTATATACAACTGGCTTCACAGAATATGCCATACTTCAGATATAAGTAAAACACTAGGACAGCATGTCGAAGTTTTCTACATTGTTTCACAAAAGCTAGAAATTCGAGGGTCTATTTCCCACTGGAGAGCCCCATCAGTCAGGGTTACAGGGAATGGTCTTTCTCTTTCAGTACTTTCTTTATCCTCATCAGAACTGCTCGGCATTCTCTTCAGATTACATCTCCTTGCAGATAGGCCTAGGGCGAAGAAAGCTACTCAGACCAGGTAAGCCCTTTGGGGGCTGAACTTGGCTATCAGAAGAGGAAAAGCTGACTGCAGGGTGAGAGGCCCACATTTGGCTGAGCACGTCAGCCTTGCTCATGACACCTACTCAGGGACCTCTTACTAAAAACACAATTTTAGTAAGCTCTGAAAGTGGGAAGCTCATTAACTTTGTGCTTTGCATTTTCATGTTCTACAAACCATCATGGAGCTCATGATCCATGGTAGACTGTGTGTAAGAGGAGCTAGGTGTGTCAGCAGAGTAAATCTGGAGGAGTGCACAGTACTGGCAGGACACAAAAGGGCCCCTGCAGGTTTTGAAGAGCTGTACAATATACTTGCGAAATTTCTCTCCCAGAAAAAAGTAGATGATCGGATTAAGGCAGCAGTGAACGAAAGCCAGGGTTTCTGTGGCCTGGATAGCATAGTCCAGGTATTTTTCAAGGGTGCAGTCTTGAAGGACGTCTAGATCCACCAGGGTGTCCAGAAAGAGCACGACATTGTAAGGTGTCCAGAACCCCAGGAAGAGGACCACCACAGCAAAGATCATCTTCACTGCTTTGTTCTTCTTCTCATTTTTACAGTGCTGCAAGGTCCTGATGATCATGGAGTAGCAAAACAGCATGATGCCCAAAGGGATCACCAGTCCTACAATGTTGATTTCCAGAGAGCTCAGAACCTTCCATGTGGTGGAGTTTGCAGAATATTTGGTTTTGCAGTAGGTATGGTTGCGCTCGGTGTAACAAGTGCTGAACAGAAGGCCAGGAAGGGAGGCGAACACTGCCACGGCCCATGTAGCCAAGCTGGTGATGACCCCATAGGTCAAGGTTCTCACCCTCATAGAAAACACCGCATGCACAATTGCCAGGTATCTGTCAATGCTCATGAGCATGATGAAGAAGATGCCGCTATAAAAGCCCACCAGGTATATCCATGAAATCATCTTACACAGACCTAGCCCAAAGACCCACTGGTCTGCAGAGTAGTAGCCCCAGAACGGCAACGAGAACACGAAGAGCAGATCTGAGATGGCAAGGTTGAGCAGGTACACATCAGTCATGGACCTGAGCCGCTTATATTTGAACAGGACCAGAACCACCACGCAGTTTCCAAGCAGACCAAACAGAAAGACCAACAAGTAAAGAGGGGGCAGGAAGAGCTTCCCAAAAGCCTTGATGCCTTCTTTGTTGCAAGGCGTGGGGAGGTTTTCATACTGGTAGTAATTGCTATAGATAGCTTCATCCACAGTGGTGTCTGCTGAGTCGGTGGAGTTCATGTTTTAAATCTACAGGCTCCTCGAGGCTGTCTGGGTGTAAGCAGAAGAAGCTAATGAGAGGGAGAGCAAGCAACATTCTGTGAGAACAAGTATCAAAAAGGTAGGAAATGCAGAGCACAGTTGCATACTGTTTTGCCCCAGGTCACTTACTTATAATCTATATTATATATAATATCTAAAGTCTATATTATATATATATATATTACATATAAGTATATAATGTGTATATAAAAACATATCTACAACATACCTTCCCCAGCTGAGGTGCTCAATTCCTAGCTGGGCCTGGCAGCACAGGAAAGAATCCTACAACCACCCAGGTTGGGCTCACACTGCAGCTCTGCCACTCACTGATCCTCTAACCCCACTGCTAGAACTTTAGTTCTCATTTGTGAGTGAGACAGGGTCTCACTATGTAATTCAGGCTGACCTTGAACACAGCATGTAGCTCAGGCTGGCCTTGAACTTGTGGCGATCCTCCTGTCTCAGCTTCCTGAGTGCTGGGATTACAGGCGTGCACCACCATGCCCGACTAAGAATGTGTTTCTAAAATATACTCTGTATACAGTCTAGAGTTCCTAAATTCACTTTCAGGGATGACAGCATCAGTGCATGTTTCCCACAGTAACGCACATCTGGCCCTTTCTCACACTAAAAAAAAAAAGAGAAATTAAAACTCTATACATGGGGCTGGGGATATAGCCCAGAGGTAGAACATGGCTCTTAGCATGCACACAAGACCCTGGGTTCAACACCAGCACTGAAAAAAAAAAAATTCCCCCTCACATTTCAAGTAATCTTATTCCACTATAAACCACATTATGGCTGGGGTTTAGCTCAGTGGTTCCACTGCCTGCCTTGCAAGCGCAAGGTCCTGAGTTCAATCCCTGGTACCAAAAAAAACCCCAAAAAACAAACAAACCACGTTATGATGAATGTGATCATTATCTATATCTAAATTGTACCAATAAAATTAAAATTTAAAAAAACCCAGGTTAATCGCCTGCCTGACTTTATATAAAAACTAATTCTTTTTTTTTTGTATTAAATTCTTTTATTGGTACATTGTAGGTATACAACACAATTACATTTCTCATTGCAAATTGTACCTTTATATAATGCATCTTGGTTCTTATTTTTTCCCCATTCCTAGCTCTCCCCTTCATGCCCTCCACTCTTCCCTATTTACAAAGACTTTATTTCCATTTTTTCCATTTCTCATCATTAAAAACTAATTTTTTGCATGCTTTATACTACATAGATTTCAAAGCACATTTAACAATATTATACATTAAAATATCTCCAGGGCCAGGAATTTAGCTCAGTGGCTCCGCGCCTTCCTTGCAAGCACAAGGTGGTCCTGAGTTCAATCCCCAGTAGTGCAAAAAAAAAAAAAAAAATCATCTCCAACAGAATTCTTCTATTCTAAGTAAGTATAACCAAACCAAAACACATAAAAATGTGTCTAGATTCCTGGAGAAAGCAGTACTTCAAAACTGACAAAGTAGGATATGATCATCATTAACCTCAAGAAGACTTTGAAAACTCCGTCAGATTGGAGTCCAACCTGGTCAACTTAGCAATTTAATGAGACCCTGTCTCAATTTTTCTTTGTTTAAAAAAGGCATTGGAGGGCCAGGGATTTAGCTTAGTGGTTCCGGCGCCTGCCTCACAAGCACAAGGTCCCAAGTTTGATCCCTGGTACCAAAAAACAAACAAACGGCATTGGTGCCAGGCATGGTGGCTCATATCTGTAATCCTAGTACTTGGGAGGCTGAGGCAGGAGGACTGCAGAGTTTGAGGGCAGCCTGGGCTATATAGTGAGTTCAACATCAGCCTGAACCACAAAGTGAGAGCCTGTCTCAAAAAACGGGGAAGGGCCAATTGTGGATGTGGCTCCATGTGAAGGTCCTAGGTTCACAACCCCCCTCCCAAGAATTAAGTGACTTCTAGAGACCAAACATCTGTGTGTAAAACTTGCTACCTGGACCCCAAGTCATAGTCGAGCTGGTAGATCAGGTCTTGGCTAAGGGTGGGGGAAGCTCTTCTTTACAGCATTTGCTGGTTTCTGTGGCATATATACTCCCACAGTGGTCACTTTCAAGCTACCTCATCAGATCTCTGAACATGTAATCATCTGCTCCTAGGAGGTAGTGTCAGCTGGCTCCAATACCTCCCTGCCAAGTCTCTGCTCCAGAACACATCTGGGGGAGGGGGCTGCATTCCTGGCCCTCTGGGAACATGTGGCCACTTTATCCTAATGCAGCCAATGGATTTTAAAGTCTTTCAGGATTTTAAAGTCTTACAATATTCAGTACCTTGAGGGAACTTTTTGGTCTTTTCATCAAAACACATTAAAAAAAAACCAAAAAAAAACAGCCCAAAGCATTATAAAATGATTACAATGATTACAAAAAATTATTTTAAAAAAGAAAATTCCCTGAAAGATCTTGAAAAGGCACAGCCAGAAAGAAAATCTCTACCTCCCCAACCACATTCTTTTTTTGTTTCTTTTGTTTTGCTTTTTTGAGACAGGGTCTCAGCTAGGCAGTTCAGGCTGGCCTTGAACTCATTATGCAGGCCATGTTGGCCTCAAGCTCATGGTGATCCTCTTGCCTCAGTTTCCTGAGTGCTGGGATTACAGGTGTGCATCATCATGCTCAGCTTTCATTTTCTATCTAAATTGGAGTCTAAATCAGGAACAGTGCATGCCTATAACCCAAGCTGATCCCAGCTATTTCGGAGGCTGAAGGAGAAGGATCACAAGTTCTGGGCCAGCCCTAGTAACTTAGTGAGATCCCACTGCAAAAGAGAATGAGAAGGGCTGGAGGTTGTAGCTCAGTGGTAGAGAACCTGCCTAGTATGTGTGAGCCCCACGGTTCAGTGGCCAATAGGGAATACAAACACACAGAGGCAGATGAAGATAATAAAACCCAAAAGTTACACACATGCTCACCCATGTACCAGAGCAATTCGAGGAGGGAGGGCTGTCAGACTCAAGGCTGGCCCTTGCTTCCTTCTGGTTGCTCACATGGCACCATGACTTTCCTTACTAAAATCTTTCACACTGTTCAGCAATTCTCTAGTGCCTCACCCATCCTTCCCACCACAGACCCAAATGCCAAGGCTTTCTTAGGAGAGAGATTTGGGGTCATTCCTAAAATAGGATGCTAAAGACGTGGTACATGGCTGGGTCTCCAGTCAAGTTTGTTAAATGAGCAACAATTCTATCCATCACCATTTTACCAGAGAAAATTAAAGGGGAAAACGATAAACAAGGGTGAGAAGTGAGGAAAGTCTCAGACAAATAAATAAACAAGAAAGACTGCTAGTAAATGTTTACAATTCTGTATGTGTAGGGGGCCGTTTCTTGGCCCTAGAGGCTTGATAGCAACAAGTGAGAAGCAGAAATGTTTGGATTTTGGATGGAAGTTACCTGTTTTTCTAGGGCACGCAGACTTACGACAGCTGTACATGCAGGAAGAGAAGGAAAGAGCCCCACATGTCTAGGTGCCTGTCACATGAGGACTCGTGTGTGGACAGGCAGGGCATGAAAGCCCCGAGAGGTGCCACCTGTGACCACCTGCATGACCAATATGCCCCGGTGTCCCTGCTGGCCGCCTCCCAGGGTTGCCTTCAGTCCCACTGCAGTCCCTGCGCACGTCCCCCACCCCACTTACCTGGCTTTTCTAAGGAGGCTCTAGAGAGGGTCTTCGAGGCAGCGTTGAGCTGGCTGAGAAGCACAGGTGCCTTTGAAGAGTGTGTGGCTTCCTGTGAGCGCAGCCCTGTCCCTCACTCAGCTATGCTGAGCGTAAATGGGGTTTTTGACAGAAGTAGGAAGCAGAAAATGACTGACTCATTTCCCAAAACAGAAGGTTTAGTTTTTTTCTGACGGAGAAAGGAAGAAAATGAAAAGAACATAAGGAAGAAAATGAAGTAAGTTTTTTTAAAAAAAGACAAAGTTTTTATTTCTTAAAAATTTATTTATTAGGGTCTGAAGATATAGCTCTGTGGCAGAGCACTTGCTGAACATGAGAAAGGCCCTGGTTTAAGATCTAGCATGGCACACTCACAAATTACTCATGGGTTTCTTTAACTGAAAATGTTCCTTGGATCAGGTTGGCAGGTGCCCTGAAGGTGTCTCATGTTCTCCAAATGAATGGGCTCTTAGGAGGCCAGAGTGACATGGCCAAAGAGATTCAAGAAAAGGGATACTCAGGCCAGGTGAAGTGACACATGCTTGTAATCCCAGCTTGGGAGGCTGAGGCAGGAGGGTGGCAAGTTTAAGGCCATCCTTGGAATCTTGGACCCTGTCTCAAAACAAAAGAGGCTGTTAGAGCACCCTGGGTTTGATCCCTAGTACTACCCTCTCCCTTAAAAAAAGCACCTTCTAGAGAATAGTTTTTGCAAATGTGTGTCTATAAGTGACTTGAAAGATATCAGTCAGTGTTCTCTGATGCAGTAATGGACTTGTCCTCAATGTCCTGTGAAATGACAATGTAGCTTCAAGCCCATTTTGCAATAGACTTCTCAAGCTCCTTTTTTAGAAATGTGGAGTTTCGTTTGCTGTAATTAAATGACCTAATGTTTGTAAAGCACTTAGCATAGTGCCTGATATATCTAGGTGGCTGACAGTGGCAACAGCAGTGAAAATTAATAGAAAGAATAAAATATACAGAGACAGCTTCTTCTCCTCACGTAGTTGAGCCCTTAGCCATCACTGGGATTCTAAGAAACACAAGGTGAGCCACACTCAATTTCCTAGTCGGTGTTTAGATTAAAAGCAAGGTTCAGCTACACATGGTGGTTCACATCTGTAATTCCAGAAGTTTGGGAAGCTGAAGCAGGAAGATCAAAACTTCAAGCCTAGGGCCAGGGATTTAGCTCAGTGGATCCACCGCCTGCCTTGCAACCGGAAGGTCCCTAGTTCGATCCCCGGTACCAAAAAAACAAAAACAAAAACAACTTCAAGCCTACCCAGGCAACTTAGCAAGACCCTGTCTCATAATAAAAACATTTTTAAAGAGTTGAGGATATAGCTCAGTACAAAAGCCTTGAGGATATGGCTCATTGTAAAAGCACTAGGTTCAACCCCCATTACTGGGTTTCAAAACTGAATTAAAAAAAAAAATCCCACTCCCCCCGCCAAAAAGGCTCAGTTTTTTAGTAACATCCATATTACACATGGGGAAAGAAGAACCCAGACAGGTTATACCCGAGGTATCACAACCAGTTGAGAGCTGGAGCCAATACCCAGACTCCTGACATTTTCATGGACATAAGGTGCCATTGTACTTCTGAAATTTGAGGAGAGACGACCAACGCCCCCCCCCCCCCAAAAACCCAACTTAGTGCAAACTGCCCAAAAGTAAGTTGGTACAGGGCAGAACATGGGCCTGATGTCTAACACGAGGCTACAGCGACCCCTGGTGTACCAAGCCTTCTTTCAATACCGAAGACAGACATCAAGGTCAATTCCCCAGGCTGCAGGTACTAAACTAACCCACAGTGACCAGCATTTCTGAAAAATGGAAGCTCGATTACCCACCCCCCCCACGCCCCACAGCCTTCAAGAGCACCTCCACAGGATTCCACTGCAGCACAGTAGTGGTGAAGCCTCCAAGGTTAAACTGACAGAAATGTGCCAGGTGTGGTCACACTGGGCTGTATGTAGGGGCAACAAAACACGGGAGCTGTATATGTAGTGCATGGTGAGGTGAGGTAAGTACCAAGGGCTTTCTACCAGTGGATACCTTGAATAGATTTTTGGTGGGCTCAGAGAAGAGGGGTATACCTAGTCATAGGCTATCTGGACCTGGGAAAGTAGGGCTGCAGTGGACCCTAATATGAGACCTCATAAGGAAAAGATTGGGATGTGGACTTAGTGGCTCAAAAAGGAAAATTAACCAGTCTCAAACCAGGGCCTCAAAACTGGGTCAAGACAACATTTAAAGTGACAACTATGTTATAGGAGAGGTCGGAATACATACACAAAACCTTGGTAAGGAAGTAAAGATTGCAAACAATTAAATCATAAATCTATATTTTGGAAAGATAACTAAAAATTCCTACACATTTGTAAATAAGACAACACATTTTCATGTAACCTGGATATCAAAGGTACAGTACACAAAACAGAAAACACTGAATGACAATAAAATATTACTTAGCAAAGTTATAGTAACTATAACTTTGATAACAGCTGAACTGGCCCACATAGAATAACTAGACCTTAAATGTTTATATTACAAAGGAGGAGGGCCGGGGATTTAGCTCAGTGGTTTTGCTGCCTGCTGTGTAAGCACAAGGACCGGAGTTCGATCCCCAGTACCAAAAAAAAAAAAGGAAGATTGGCTAGAAGTTAGTGAAACATAAACTACTGAAAAAGGAGACAGCAGAAAAGAAACAGTAAAATAAACCCAAAGGGATATGTGAAACAAATTAAGAACAGGAATTAAAAATTGAAAGCAAATCAGACCCATTAAAATGTTTGAAAACACAAAATTGACAGACTTGCAGAAGAATTTTTTTAAAAAAGAAAAAAATCTTGGGAATGTAAAGGAGATATAAACATAAACAGACTAGAGATTTTAAAATAATTTAAATAAATAATAATTTAAAAAATATATAGATAACTTCAAGATCTTACCAAAATTGGCTCCAAAAGAAAACCTCATTTAGGGCCAGGGATTTAGCTCAGTGGTTCTGCCGCCTGCCTTGCAAGTGGAAGGACCAGAGTTCGATCCCTGGTACCAAAAAAGAAAACCTCATTTATGATCATTTTTGTAAAAAATTCAATCAGTTCTTGAAATGCTTTGCACAAAAAGACTCAGAAAAGATGGATTTACAGGCAAATTCTCTCAAATATGCAGAGTACATATAATTCTAATCCCATGTATCATGTTTTCCCCAGAAATAAAAACAGAATATACAAACTCATTTAATGAAAATGCCCAGTAAAAAAATATTCTAACAAACCAAATCCACTACAGCTGAAAAAATACACCAATTAGAGGCCGGGAATTTAGCTCAGTGGCACTGTGCCTGCCTGGCAAGCACAAGGTCCTGAGTTTGATTCCTGGCACACACACACAAAAAAAACCTTAGTTCAAGTTAGTTTAACATTAGTTTAAACTTTAATATTAATTCAAATCAGCACATTAACAGAATAAAAGAAAAGTCCTCTGCCACAGAAAGAACAGGCATGGACACCTATAATCACAGCATACTGGGAGGCTGAGGAAGAAGAATCTTGAGTTCAAGCCTGGCCTGGGCAACTTAGCAACTTAGACCAGTGAGATTGCGTCTCAAATTTAGAAAGGGCTGGAGATGTAGCACCCTGGGCTCAATTCCCAATACTACAAAAAAACAATATTTTTAAGGCATTGTGGAGTGAACCCAGAGCCTTTGCATATCTTCATCTCTTTCTGTCTGTCTTTCCCTCTCCCACCACTCCTCTCTTTATTTTGAGACAGTGTCTCACTAAGTTACTTAGTTGCCCAGCCTATGCCTAAACCTTCCATCCTCATGCTTTAGTCTCCCAGACTGCAGGGATCACAGGCAGGTGCCAACATTCCCAGCTTTAATTTACCTTTTTTAACTTTAGAAGGGAGCTTCTTTAAACTGATAAAAGTTATCTGCAAAGAAAACTCTCAATAAACATATTACTTAATTGTAAATAGCAAAAAAGTAATTCATTTTAAATTAGGACAATGAATATAATATCTACTAGTAAGTGTTCTATTAGAGCTGATGGACAAGAATTAAAAAGATATATTAAACAAAACTGCAGGATACAAAATAAAAATCAGTGGATTTTATACACTAACAATCTGAATATTTTAAAAGTTCCATTTAAAATAGCATAAAAAGAATAAAATAACAAACTTACTAAGAAGGTGAAAGAATTATAATCAGAAAACTACCAAATGTTGAAATAAATTAAAGATGATATAAATAAATAGAAAAACACCCCATGCTTATGGTTTGGAAGACTAAATATCACTACATCAATAAGACCCAAAGTGATACAGATTTAATGCCATCTTTATCATAATCTCAATAGCACTCTTTGTAGAAATATAAAAAATGTATCCTGAAATCATAAAATCAAGGGACACTGCATAACTAAACAATTTTGAAAAAGAACATATAAGTTTTATCTGTCCTGAATTCAAAAGTTATTATAAAAGCTACATTAATCAAAATAATATGAAACAGGCATAAAGACAGACATATAGACAATGAAACTGAATAGAGTATCAGAAATGAACTCTTCATGTATGGTCAAAATAGCTTCTTTGTTTGCATTGTCTTTACTTTGTCCCCATTCCCACTGTATAGTAATGGTGTCACCTAGTACATTCTCTGGGGAACATGGTCAAATATTTTTGATACGAATGGTAAAACCAGGGCTGGAGATTTAGCTCAGTGGTTCTGTTGCCTGCCTTGCAAGTGCAAGGTCCCGAGTTTGATCCTCAGGACCAAAAAAAAAGAGTGGTAAGACCATTTATTAGGGAAAGGACAGTTATTCAATAAATAGTGCTAGGAAAATTGAATACCCACCTGCAAAAGAGGATGTAGCTCAGCGGTGCTGTGCCTGCCTGGCAAGTACAAGGTCCTGAGTTGGATCCCCAGTACAGGGGAAAAAAAATTGTCTCCAAATGGTATAAAGACCTAAAGTTAAGACTCAAAACTATATAACTCCTAGAAGGAAAATATAGGGGAAATGATTCAGGATGATGAATTTGGCAATGATTTCTTATACTAAAAGTACAAATAAGAAAAGTAAAAGTAGATTAGTTGAACTTCATCAAAATGTAAAACTCCTGTGCATAAAAGGACACCATCAACAGAATGAAGTTATCTATGAAATGGGAGAAAATAACTGCAAATCACTGATCTGAGGGGTTGATATTCAAAATATATAATGAAGTCTAACTGTTCCAGAGACAGATTGACTACAACTTTTTTGAAAAAAATAGTTCCAAATGATATCCTGCTTCCCAGATTAAAACCCTATGTGTGGGGCTGGGGATTTAGCTCAGTGGTTTCGCCGCCTACTGCACAAGTGCAAGGACCCGAGTTTGATCCCCGGTACCAAAAAAAAAACCAAAAAAACACCCCAAAACCCTATGTGTGAAGTTCATTCTTCCTTTTGTTTCATTTTTAGATGCCAATGGAATCTGAAACAGATCAATGAATTAAAGCTGAAAGAGCAATTTTCCTTTTCCTACATGGAAATCTCAAAATTTTCCATCACCCAAGATTATAATTCTTCAGACTATATTATCTGTAGCACCATCTACCCACCTGACCAACACATGTACCAACCACCAATCCTGCCTCTGGAGAAACCAGTTCCCTGTTTCCTTTTTAGTCAGCCCTGGCTGGGATTCTTCCTCCTTCCTAAACCCAAGATTCTATTCTTTTCCTGTTAAACACAACTAGAAAAACAAAATATTTAAACACATTTGTATATTTATGTCAGTAGTACTTTCTCCTGCTTTTTTGTGGACTCCTATCAGTCTGATGTTATTCTTCTTTGCATCATCTAGCAGCTGCTGGATTGATTTCTTGTGGTCCCTCACTATTTTTAAGAAATCTGTTTTCATGGTCACTAACCACAATCCTGTCTTCTATATGTGATGATTCTATCTTCACATTCCCTTAATCTGCTGTGAATACTTTCAGTGGAGTTTTTAATCTCCTGGATATCTGCTTGAATCTGTTTCATGGTTTCCATTTCTTTCTTATGCTGGGCATTCATGGCTTCCAGCATGGTTCTGAGCTCATCTATTTTTTTTATCTGTTTCTGTTCTAGAGCCTCTAATCATGTCTTTTACTCTGCTTACCATCTCTGTAGTTATCTG